TATTGAGCTGAATCTTCTGATTTGTGCCCTTTTCTGGATATGTATTATATTTGAAAAGAAAGTTTGGGCTAGGTGCAGTGGCTCACACCTGTAATTCCAGCACTTTGGGAAGCTAAGGTAGGTGGATCGCTTGAGGTCAGGAGTTTGAGACCAGCCTGGGCAACATGGCAAAAACCCATCTCTACTAAAAATAGAAAAACTAGCTGGGTGTGGTGGTATATGGCTGTAATCCCAGCTACTCAGGAGGCTGAGGCACAAGAATTGCTTGAACCCCAGGAGGCAGAGGTTGCAGTGAGCTGTGATTGTGCCACTGCACTGCGGTTGGAGTGACAGAGCAAGACTCTGTCTCAAAAAAAAAAAAAAAAAAAAGGAAAAAGTTTTTAAAAAAGTGGATGAAGGCGTAATATCTGCAAATGATCAAAATGGAAGAAGCAGCAGCTCAGATTATGAACACTAAATGTCTGCAGTGGAACTTTTAAAAAATGTTCTACTCCCAGAATCATTTATGTTTGCCTTGACATTATTGCTCAGTCTGCTGGTTTTCTTATTTTATTTATTTTTATTTTTTTTGGAGATGGAGTCTCGCTCTGTCACCAGGCTGGAGTACAGTGGCGCGATCTTGTCTCGAGGCAACCTCTGCCTCCCGGGTTCAAGAGATTCTCCTGCCTCAGCCTCCCGAGTAGCTGGGATTACAGGCATATGCCACCATGCCTGGCTAATTTTGTATTTTTAGTAGAAACGGGGTTTCTCTATGTTGGTCAGGCTGGTCTCGAACTCCCGACCTTGGGTGATCTGCCTGCCTTGGCCTCCAAAGTGCTGGGATTACAGGCCTGAGCCACCGTGCCAGGCCAAATCTACATTTTTCATAAGGGGGAGATTAAATATTATCTAAAATGACAAATCAAGAAGATAGAAGCAAATTATTCAGAGGCATGCTAGCAGCCATTAGAGGTATTAGAAATAATTTTAAACAATGATTGCTTCCTGGAGAGACACACATGGAGAAGACAACTGCTCTCCACTATAAACCCTCTGGACTATTTGATTTTTGTCATGTGCATATTACTTTGATAAATCTAATGAAAGTTACAAGATTCCGGGTTGCATCATTCTCATCTACTAGGTTTAAGAATTGCTTTTTGAGGCAGGGTGCGGTGGCTCATGCCTGTAATCCCAGCACTTTTGGAGGCTGAGGTGGGCGGATCGCCTGAGATCGGGAGTTCGAGACCAGCTTGGTCAACATGGAGAAACCTTGTCTCTACTAAAAATGCAAAATTAGCTGGGTGTAGTGGCACATGCCTGTAATCCCAGCTACTAGGGAGGCTGAGGCAGGAGAATCCGGGAGGTGGAGGTTGCAGTGAGCCAAGATCACGCCATTGCACTCCAGCTTGGGAAACAAGAGCAAAACTCTGTCTCAAAAAAAAAAAAAATAGCTTTTTGAGTTTGCAGCACTGTGACTAACCCAAGAATAATGTCTACAGTCTGTCTGTTTTCTCTATACTGTGACTGAAAGTGAACATCATTTCTAGAGTACTCTTAGGAGTATAGCTGTATTAATGACTTAACTATGCAGAGCTTCTGGATTATGATTCCACAGTTACTTCTGTTTTCTTTTTAAATTTATTTATAGATATATTTAAATGAGAAACAAGCCAGGTTTAGAATTACATTGTGCATGGACAAGCAGGGAGTTATGAACATCTCCATTCAACAATTTGAAAAGCAGCAATATTATCAAACCAAAAGTAGACAATCAATGATAAAAGTGAAACTTCCAAAGCACTCATATATTAATAGTAACATGAAAAATTTATATATTCTACGCATTATGTTTTAAACAATAAAGTAAAATGTATCCGCATTTTTCCTGCTCTACTTACTTATCTTATAAACATTACCTTTTGGTTGAAGTTCAGCTATTGAAAAATTGGCTATATTTATTTCATTTTCTTGTAAAATTACAATTTCTGAGATCTTTAAATGCCTCATTTCATTATTTATCTCCATAAAAGGCCTATTAATGTGTTCCCTTTCAAAACTCTGACGAGATTTTCTTCAAGGTTATTTCTCTCAAAATTTAGGTATTTTCTTACATACTATCTTTTTTTTTTTTTTTTTTTTGAGACAGAGTCTTGCCCTGTTGCCCAGGCTGGAGTGTAGTTGCGTGCTCTCAGCTGACTACCACCTCTGCCTCCTGGGTTCAAGCGATTCTCCTGCCTCAGCCTCCTGAGTAGCTGGGATTACAGGCACACGCCACCATGCTGGGCTAATTTTTGTTTTTTTTGTTTTTTTTTTTTTTTTTTTTAGTAGAGATGGGATTTCACCATGTTGGTCAGGCTGGTCTCGAACTCCTGACCTCAGGATCTGCCCATCTTGGCCTCCCAAAGTGCTGGGATTACAGGCCTGAGCCACTGCACCCAGCTTTTCTTGCATACTATCTACCACATATTTTTGAGTAAGAAAAATATTAAGAACATCTGTTCTAGAGAAAGGGTCTTATAGGGCTTCTTTGTTTTTGATTACATCACACAGCAATTTTGTCATGTTTTATATAAAGCAGGTGCTCAAAAAAGTTTGTCATATTGAATCATATTCAGTATTATATTATCTAACATCATTACAATAGAATTATCCAAAACGTAGTGAAAAATCAGAGATTATAGTGTACGAATTGAAAGTAACGTTCCTGTCAGATATGCTTGTGTAACTTAGTTAAGTCTTTCCACATAGTCTGCATTCACTAGGTATCCCCTCTGCCAGGCCCCGTGCTGGGCTCTGTGCACACAAAGATGGACAATATCAGGTCCTTCCACTGTAGCCACTGAGAGCCTCATGGAGTTATTTGACAACTGAATGGAGAGTTACAGAATGAAGTGACCTGGACTTTCTGTGTCACCAAAGTGACAGGTCCAAACTTTCCCTGTCACTCCTTTCTTTTCACTACCAAAGTAGTGTGGGTGTCTTGGCAAGGTGAAATAAAGAGGCAAAGCCTTTCTCAGCATAATAATGAACAAGAGAGGGGTTAAGAAAGCTGAAAGATTTAGGCCTTTCTGCCTAAACACAGGCAATTATCCTGTCCTAGGAGATCTTGGGGCCAATCCTCCAGGATGGGGCACTCAGCAATGGAGCCCTGACTCTGGGGGAGGTGGGAGTGATAGAAAAGCCCAGCAAAGGTGGGAGGGTGGAGAAGAGTGCAGGAAAGGGACTCCTGGGCCTCGACTGGGGCAGATTCTGAATGGATTGAAAAGTAACTTGATAGGAAAAATCAAGAAATATTATCAGTGTCCATGATTAGACTGTGGTGAGACTGTCCGTTATCTTCCTAGACACTGGGGGCATGAATGGCTGTTTATACTGTTGTAAAGGTGTTCTCAGTGACCCACAGGGACTCATGGGATGGGAAAGGAAGGGAGCGCCCAGCTCAGGCTGCACAACCGATGTGGGAGAGTGGTAGAGATAGGATAAGATGTTTTGGAATCTGCAAGTTGTTCAGTAAGGCTCAGGCATGGACCATATGTCCAAAGAAGCTGACCCCATGTCAGTGCTTACTAATGCAAAGACAGTCGATTACCATGAATGTTACTACTCTGGACAGATTTGGGGTTAGGAAGTACAATTCAATGTTGAGTAAAAGAGTCTCCTTTTGAGGATGAAGAAAAAAAGGAAGGGTGGGCTGAGTTGTTCTCCTCAGGGATGCAGTCCACTGGTGACAGGGATTTGTAATATTCATCTTCCCCATCAAGTACTTTGATTTGGCTGCAACAAAGAAAACAACAGGATTTTCAACAAAAAAAGAAAACAAATGTTACAATCATCACTGGGGCAGCTAAAGTCATGTGAGTAGCTGGAACAGGGTTGGGTTCCAACACTGAAGGGGAAGGACAGCTTAGGTGGTTCAGGGTCTCCCAGTACAGAGGTACCAGGGTCTGATCTACAAAGCCCTTCACCTTTGGATCATGCACTGATAATGGGTCCAGTTTTGTGGTGTCTGGAAGTTGTGGTCATATTGCAACTTGATTTATGCAATTGAACTCTTTGTCTCCATCTGGTTCCCTCTAGATGAGAAAGTTTTCCTCCTGACCTCCTCCAATTCTCTACTTATTACCGTTATATACTTCATTGCTATTCTCAGTTGAGATGCTAACAATCAAATGAATGACAAATTCCTTACTATCCTCTGTCTAACCAGTGGGGCATGTTTCTCTTTGTGCATGTTTTAAGGCCCAGGGGTAGCATAATGTGGAGGAAGTGGCCTATTTGTATTTCGTAGAGTGCTCTTATTTGTGGAAGGAGAGTTTTATATAACCCACTACATGTCTCTAATTATGAAGAAAGTACAATTCCCCGGAATAATGAGAAATAACATTTGCCCTTAGGTGACAATTTCAACCTTTTTGGACAGAATAGATTCAAGTTTTGTATACTTGCTACTGTGAAAGGTAATTTCCAGTGTCAATAAGAGTGGCAATATCTGGATTGCATATTTTTAGAAGCCTCTCTGGAAAGTTTTGCATTTTCTGTAATATCACAAAGGACCCCTTCTGTTTACAGTTGCTTAGAACTAAGAAGACAGATATTTACCCAAGTTTTCTTGGCTTCCTCTTGCTCCCTTGATATTCTAGAGTTCCCTGTGGAGAGGGCCAAGAACACACAGTCAAAGCAAAGCAGCAAGTCGTTAATTTTTAATTCAAAGTGATTTTGTGTTGAATGCAAGCAGATGCTGATAATATCAGAAGTCACAGCATAATTTTTTTGATCAAAGGGCTCAAGTGAGCCTGATGAAGCATGCATCTTGCTCGTCTTTGATAAACCACATCAATTATTCACCGTGAAGGCAGACATCCTGACATGAAAGCAACAGATAAAGAGCCTAAGCACATGTTCAAGACGAGAGCATGAGGGTGGGGGTGGGGCTGCAGGGGCTGGAACAGGTAGTAATAACAGAATTATTAACTGGAAACAAAGCCAGTGAAACAGCTTTATGGCCACTTTGAACTCACATTTAACTGGTTATAGTACATAGTGTCCTCAGGGCTACTCAGCATTTTGGGCTGCTGACATCGTCGGCGAGGTGTTCGTTGCTTCTGTGCGAGACCATTTTCTGAACCTGAAAAAAGATAGCAAAACTTTGCTGTAAACTGTCCCAGGTGTTGGGAAAATGAAGTGAAAAATGGCTCTTCATATAAACACACTTAATAGAAACTGTGTCCTATTTTAGTGGGCATATTAAAAGCTTTGCTAATGTTAGGAGAAATGCCATCCTAAAAAATACACACAGATTGCTAAGTGTAAACAAGGGCCACTGTCCGTAACTTCGCATTCAGCTTTCTGATCTGAATCAGCGGTCTGGGGTGACAGAAAGCAAGCTGGTGTTTCCACATTGATGAAGTATAAGTTGGTGGTCAGCTTTTATAGAGTAGGGTGCCCTTAGTGGGATGACTGTGTTAGGACAACCAAAGCAATCAGGGATGGTTTGCACCACATCCTGCAGTGAGAGTTCAAAAACATCTGGAGCACACATACTCTTGGGGAGATGAGAAGCAAACCTTTTGGTGGGACACATTTTGGGGGGGAAAATGTCTTGAGCTAAAATTTACTGAAAGGCTTTGAACAATACCACTGATGCATGCAGTTTCTGGAGGTAGTGTAAAAGAGAAGGAGAAAGGATGATTGCACGATTACATGAAGCAGTCTCTCCCTGTCTGTCCTGATTTCAGAACCCTGGACCAAGAGCACATTGGAGATTAAGAAACCATGAGTCAGAAGAAGTCACAATTCATCTCCCTTCCAAGCAAATGATTTTACGGATCTACTGTCCTTTCGGCTCTATATCTGAATCAGGACTCAGCAGTTCTGATTTTCTGGCAACACACACACACACACACACACACACACACACACACACACACGCACACCCCTGTCGTAGAATATTGTCCATGAATATTGTTGTTTAGAGAAAAGCATCACTATCCTGGAGGACAGAGTGTTTATTATAAACTCTTCATTAAAAAGAGTTGGGGATTTTACTTGGAATCATATTTTAACTTCACCAGAGATGTCCACAATTTTAAAAAATTCTGGGGGAATTTTAAAAGTAGAGGGTGACTTAGCAGGGTCCATTAATAATAGCAAAATATCTGTTCCCTAAGTATAAAGTTTTGTATCTTGATTTTTCTTGAATTGGGACATAGCTATATTTGGACAAGACTATCGGAACCGAGCCTGGCCAACATGGTGAAACCCCATCTCTACTAAAAATACAAAAATTAGCTGGGCGTGGCGGCGGGTGCCTGTAGTCCTAGCTGCTCGAGAGGCTGAGGCAGGAGACTTGCTTGAACCCGGGAGGCAGATGTTGCAGTGAGCTGAGATTGCACCACTGCATCCAGCCTGGGTGACAGAGTGAGAGACTGTCTCAAAAAAAAAAAAAAAAAAAAACCTACCAGATCCATCCATTCTAAATACCCTTTTTTTTTTTTTTCTTTCCCAGAAAACGAACTGAGGCCCATAAAATCGAATGGCTCATCTCAGATCAAGTGGCCAGGTAGTACCCAACCCTAGATTTCTTACTTCTTGTTCCAATAGGTTTTTTTTTTTTTTAATTTTTTTTACACTATAGCGTATGATCCTTTTTTGTTTTTGAGATAGTCTCGCTGTTGTCCAGGCTGGAGTGCAGTGATGCGATCTCTACTCACTGCAACTTCTGCCTCCCAGGTTCAAGCTATTCTCCTGCTTCAGCCTCCCAACTACAGGTGTGCACCACTACGCCCATCAAATTTTTGTATTTTTTGTAGAGATGGGGTTTCATCATGTTGGCCAGGCTGGCCTCGAACTCCTAGCCTCAAGTGATCTGCCGTCCTCGGCCTCCTAAAGTGGTGGGATTACAGGCGTGAGCCATTGCACCCAGCTTATAGGATATTGTCTTTCTTAAGGAGAAACATTTTTTAAAGTCAAAGGTCTAAGTAAAAACTCAATGAAAAAAAAAATATATAATATGATATACTATATAATATATGCTATATATCATATACTATATATCATATATATGATATATAATATACTATATATCTATAAAATGTGATATATACTATATATTATCTATAAAATGCTATATATTATATACTATATATTATCTATAATATGCTATATGTTATATACCATATATTATCTATAATATGCTATGTTATATACTATATGCTATATATCATATATAACATGCTATGTATTATATACTATATTACCTATAAAATGCTATATATTATATGCTATATTTTATCTATGATATGCTATATATCATATGCAATATATAATATGCTATATATTATACACAACATATTATATAATACACTATATATTATATACAATATATATCATATATAACATGCTATATATTATATACTGTTTTACCTATAAAATGCTATATATTATATACTATATATTATCTATATGCTATATATCATATACAACATATTGTAATATACTATATATTATATACAATATACTATATATTATACACTATTATATATTATATACTATATATCATATAATGCTATATATTATATACTATATTCCTATAAAATGCCATATGTAATATACTATATATTATCTATAATATGCTATATATATACAGGATGTTATATATACTATATATTATCTATAATATGCTATATATTATATACAAGATATTATATATAATATACTATATACTATACATACTATATAGCTCATAAAATATATACTATACATACTATATAGTATATAAAATATACTATATACTATACATACTACATAGTACATAAAATATACTATATACTATATATGCTGTATAGTACATAAAATATACTATATACTATATATTATATAAAGTTTTTGAGACAGTCTCACTCTGTCGCCCAGGCTAGAGTGCAGTGGCACGATCTCAGCTCACTGTAGCCTCTGCCTCCCAGGTTCAAGTGATGCTCCTTCCTTAGCCTCCCAAGTAGCTAAGATTACAGGCAGACACCCCCACACCCAGCTAATTTTTTGTATTTTTAATAGAGATGGGGTTTCGTCATGTTGCCCAGCCGGGTCTCAAACTCTTGACCTCAATTAATCTGCCCACCTCAGCCTCCCAAAGTGCTGAGATTACAGGTGTGAGTCACCATGTCCGGCCTCAGTGAAAACATATTAATTAGCATAGTGATCACTGTGCAGAGCACAGGAATCTAGCCTGTTGTGCTGGCAAGGTTCTCAGAACACAAAGAACACAGCAGTTCTTTCTGATGGTTCCAACACACCTCCTCCTTGTTTGCTTTGTGAAGTCCATACTCTGCAATATGGTAGAATGTGAAGCTGTGAGTCCCTTTTGTGTCATCTCCATTCTGATTTATAGATCAATGAAGAGAATTGTCCTTAGGTCAGGCTGCTAGTGTGAAGCATCCTCTGGAGGTCTGACATCCACTCTCCCTTACACTTTCTAATATGGCAGGAATTCCATCCATGGTAACTCAAAAGACTGATCTTCAGAAGTTTTTGGGTTCAGTTAGAGTTCAGCCTAGTTCAGCTGGACTTCATGTTTATATAGTGTTTACATTTTATCAGAGGGTTTTTTTTATATTGTCTCAACTGGTAATGCTTTGTATACATTATGATTTTCAACTTTTGTTCTTGACGAACTTGCTGTTTCATTGGCTTTTTTTTTCCTGATTCTTATAAGGAATTAAGTTATTGGATAGAACGTTCTTAATTTTAATATTTCTCCCATTACTTAAAAACAACTGTTGGTGTCTAATCTTATGGTTTCTACACTATACTAGAATCTGGTATAAGCTAGTTATCTGATTTAGCATCAAATTATAATTTTCATTATTTTAAGTTTAATTTTTCCGTATTTCACAATGTTCAGAAAAGAATGCTGTAACTTCCAGGTGCTTTGCCATTACAAGAAATCTGAGTGTCACTGATATAATGATCCATTGTAAGCAACCAAATAAATAATTGAGAAGTAGATCGTGGTTTAATAAATGCTATGGGAACAATTTAATAGCAATATGCAAAAATATAACTTAAATACAGACATATTAACATTTATCCTATATACAGGGTACTTTGCTGGATTTTGTAGAAAATTCAAAGAGAAATAAGACAAAGTCCCTGTTTTCAATCTAGTAGAGGACGCTGTCTTAAGATGTTAAGTGATTAGTGATTTCTTTAAAGCTGTTTAAGCTAGTGCTGTTGGACTCAAATTGTTTAGTTTTTAAAATTCTAAATCCTTTACTCTTCTCAATATATTTCTTGATTCTCACAGGCCACAATAAATTCTAGATGAGTTATATAGTTGAGAATTTTAAACATCTCCAAAAAACTTTAGAAAGAAATGAAATAGACTCTCTCAGCTGTATAAGAAGATGTTAGTGACACGCATGGGTTTAATTATATTAAAGTAAAATGTTCCATATGATGGACAGTAACAAAACTAAGATGAAAGGAAGTACAACAGAAAGATAAAAACAATTAAAAGATATATACCCATAAAAGTTACATCCATAATGTGGAAAGGCTGAGGCAAGAGACAGAAATATAGTTAGAAAATGAGATACTGAAAAATGTTGAACTATCCTGACAAACAGCTTCAATTTAACAATTACTACTGCTTCTCTATAATTCATACACCAAAAGGTTAAAAGACAATGTGGGAGGGGCCCCAGAGAAACAGCAGAATCCATAGGTTCCCCGCCTCCTGAAGTGCAATTGGCAATAAACAGAGCTGGCCGGGTGCGGTGGCTCACACCTGTAATCCCAACACTTTGGGAGGCCTAGGTGGGCGGATTGCTTGAGCTCAGGAGTTCGAGAGCAGCCCAGGCAACATGGCAAAGCCCCATCTCTACAAAAAATTAGCCAGGCATATTGGCATGCACCTGTGGTCCCAACTACTCCGGAGGCTGAGAAAGGAGGATCCCTTGAGTTCAGGAGCCGAGACTCCTGCAGTGAGCTGAGACTGTGCCTCTGCACTCCAGCCTGGGTAATAGAGTGACACTTGGTCTCCAAAAAAAAAAAAAAACAAAAACAAAAATTAAAACAAAACAGAAAAAACTCCCAGAACTAAGCAACTTGTTCCAAGGAACACGTTGC